GAAAGCTTGCCTCTTGGAGAGGCCTTGTAACCCATATACAACTGGGTCATTGTTCAGCTTTTGATCTAGCTCTTGCCTGGCAGGTTGCCCCGGCCGATCAAGAAGAGCTCCGTGATTATGCCAGAAAGCAAGCTTGGCAAGCTCTTGTTGAGAACCTGACCCTCATTCAGGTGATTCGTGAGCAATGCATCTTGTGCGGACGCTTCTTTGCGAATGGAAAGGAACTGCTGCAGCACATCCATCGCATGCACCAGGCTCTTTGGGCTGCTTCGATGCACTATACAGCTGAGATCATGCACTTCCTTCGTGGACTCAAGGCCTGTAGCGCATGTGGAAAGGATGTCAATGTTGCCCACAGCTGTCATGCTGTACGACAAATGGCGATCCTAAGGGTTTTGGTAAAGAGCGACATCACCACTGCAGAGCTGAAACAGGTACAGTCTTGGTGGTTCCGCCTCCTGTACCTAATCCTGATCTACCACTTCCAGAAGCTTCCAAACGCAGGAAACTCAACGGCCGGATCACCAAAGCAGAGTTCCAACCAGGTCGAGACTCTGCAGATGGCACACCGACATGTGCTCACTGTCACGCAGTCCTTCAAAATCACTTTGGATTGAAGTCCCACATTGAGGGAGGCTGTCGCTCCTTCCATGCAGATCGACCCCTCGGCTCTCATGTGCCCATGGGCTGGTCCAAACTGCAGGCACTCATCCTGGACCTCGACATCGATAACATCCTTGCCGACAATGACTATCTCACAGCACTGCAGGCACGATGCGTCCTATGCGGGCGCCTGTCGAGTAAACCTGGTGGAGTTTTGCAGCATCTTCAACAGGAGCACCAAGAGCTGCTTAGCCTTTCGCGTGATCTTGAAGACAGACTTCAGAATGAGGCCCTTGCTTCAGGACGACAATGCAAGTGTGGCAACAAGTACACGAAGCGGGGACACAAATGCATGATTTATGCCCAGCTAGCAGTACTGTATCATGCTCTTCAACCTCGCTCCGTGGCACCTTCGGTCTCCGCTGATCTGCAGGTTTCGGCTCCATCGACCTCTGAACCAACCACCTTCTGGACAAGGGAGTCCTGGCGTACTTGGCTCAGCACCACTTGCAGTGTTTGTCAAATCAAAGTTGAATTGGACCAACTGCACCAACATCTGCAACAAGCGCATGCACACATGTATGCTGAAGCCCTTGGACAACTGGAGCGGTGTACCTCACCGGATTTGTTCTGCTGCAACTTTTGCCTGAAAGCAGAGGAGATCGTAGACTGTCCGGTAGCCCTGAATCTCGCCTACCACATCCTCCTTCATGCCGATGATCGAATATGGAGCGGACGAACTGATGGCTCAGATCGGGGACACCTTCGGCTCAATGCTTCAGGAGGACGAAAGGCAGCCGGCTCACAAGAGAACCAAAGGGCAGATGGAAAGCCATCAAGGGACATCCGGAGCCTCCTCCTCGGAGCCCATCGTCCAAGCTCTACAGCTCCTGACGACCCTGACACTTCGTCAGGAGGGCTACATCCAGTCCCTTCAGACCACCGACACATTCCTGATGTTCTTGCAGTTTGCACCGTCGGGCATAGTCCCGCTGCTGATGAAGAAATCACAGGAATGGAAACAAGCCATGGAGAACCGAACGGCCAAACAGGCCTTGAAGAATGTGCTCTTTCTGACCATTGTGCAACAACTCCAAGACCGCTTCCTCAGGATTGCCACCTCGAAAGTCGGATCCGAGATCTGGAAAGAGGGTATCACACATCAGGTGATCACGGAGCACGGGTCATGGCCCTACTTGGCGTGGAATCCAAAGGAGAAACGCCTGGTTCCCACGGACAAGACCGCTCTTTCTATGACCACCATGCAGAGCTTGATCGAGGAGCTGGTGGATATAGCATCGCATGGGGAGTCGGTCCTCAGACTCAAGTCCCTCAAACCGGAAAGCAGGGATGGGGCGAAACCTCAGGTCAGTCCCTGGCTACTGCAATTGCATCCCAGGAAGGAGAGAATCCACGAGATCCTGATGCTTTTGACCGCTTCCTCAATATGGTGTCTTGTCATGGCCAGGGTCAGACCACACATCAACAAGGAGAATCATGCCGCGGCCCAGCTGATCAAAGTGTGCAACAGCCTGTCCAAGCGGAAGCCTTAGCGGGATGGTTGCTTTCCCTACGGCTGAGCAACGAAGGTCATCAATGCTACCAGAATGCCATTGTTGTCTCCCTGCTATGGTGCATGACACAAATGGGCAGTGCTATGTGGCAAGACTTTGGTCAGCTGTATCCACTCATTGAGGAGCTCTTCACTCAAGAAAGTCTATGGATCAATCTTCAGCGGCTAAGCTGCTTTGATGCGTTTCTGTCTGCCTGGGGGAACAGGCAGCAGGACGCTGGGGAATTCCTTGCCGCCTTTCTTCGATGGACTCAGCCTTTGTGTGTGCACCTGCACTGGAAGAGACGGGTGTTGGTCAACCAAGTGGTTGAGACTGCTGACGAAGGTTCAAGGTTCACACCACCAACCATCTGCGCACCGGCTCACGCCAAAAAGATCAGCCTCCAACAGCTTGTGGATTCATGGGCATCTTATATGGGAATGTCCACAGCATTTGTGCATAGCGGCAAACTTGTGAACCTGCATCTTGATCGGTTTCGCTCTGTGCACTCAGGCAATGTCCATCGGCATGAATGGGAGCTGGATCTTCCTGATGTTGTGCTACTGCCAGTTCAAGCAGAGGACTCACTCGCCACTTGTGCCATCCCATATGTGGTGATAGGAGGGATCCTGCGCAGGGGAGAAGATGGTTCAGGCCACATCCAGGCCACCGGCAGGTCGAGGGAGGGCTGGTTTCTTTTCAACGACCATGAGGAAGCCCGCTTCTTTCAGGAACCGCCACTGCTCACTAACTGGGTCAGTGTATGGATGATCCGTGATGTCTGGACCCATTTCACCACCCCCAAGTTCTGGCAGTTTGGACTGGATCATGCCACGGACCAGATGACTTTGCACCTGGAAACCACGGGCCTGGACTGGGATGAGTTCCCGGGAGATTGGATACAGAGGCTGCGAGCCCATTGCAGCATTTGCGGTCGCCTGACCCTTTCGCATCGTGCCTTGGCCCAACACGTCAGGATCAGACATCCGGAATATGTTCCGGAACTCCTGGAGGATACCAGCCGCCAGCAGAACAAGTGCCTGAGCTCCTTACCTTGCCTAGGTTGTGGAATGAAACCAGCATCAGGAGCCAATCTGCGCACCGAGCACCTGTGCATTGCGGAGCTCAACCTGCATCTCGGCAGAACTTACACGCACCGAGAACTCCGCATCCAAAGCAATTGCTTTGGCCTTAGAGACACCCCTGATCTTGCGACTTGGCTTGAGCGTCATTAGAACGCATGTGGCCTGTGGACGCCTGGCTTGGCGCCGACATTTGCTGCTGCTTCTCGCTGGCAGCTGTCCGGCGCCCTGGGCTGCTCATTGCTGCAGCTGCTGAGATGGCTGAATCGGAAGCTCCTTTTGTTTAGATGGCTGTGTAGCCGACACGTAGCTTTGAAGCTTTGATGAGGATGGCGCCTTGAGTGCATCTTGCTCTCAAGGCTGCCTCTCCGGAGCAGTTGAAGCACCCCTGGTGCTCCTGACTCCGTATGATATGTTTTGATTTGGTTTTGACATGGATAGATGCTATAGAAGCTTTTGTCTGTCCATTGTGTTGGAGGCCAATCCTCCCACTGGTGTTGCGCACCAAGGTGCAAGTTCCCATGAGTGGAACCGACGGCTAGACCGTTGCCGCCCCGCAGTTTTCGGATGTCCGAAGAGCGAATCAAACTCAAAAAAAACTATCTATAGCATATCTATAGCATATCTATCTATCTATCTACCTACCTATCTATCTATCTATCTATCGCATATCTATCTATCTATAGCATATCTATCTATCTATAGCATATCTATCTATCTATCTATCCATCCATCCATCTATCTATCTATCCTAATCTAATCTAATCTAATCTAATCTAATCTATGTATTGCTTTAATCAACGGTGCATTCACAGAATCCTTTTCTCATGTGAACCAGATGCTCAGATTTGGTCATTATGTGCCATCAGACTTGAATTTTGGCTGGCGCGGCACCGACTTCTCGCATGGCACCTATGCAGATCGTCACAAGGTTTACTAGCAATAGAGCTTGCCAGATCGTCAACTTGCATCCGCAGAGGTCCTTTGTCAGAAATGATGTATTGAGCTTGGTCTGTGGGTCCACTCCTAGCAGTTTGAGCTTGTCGTTTCGACCACCCGGTGACGGTTGGCTCGGTTGGGCGATTGGCTCACCGGGTGACTTGTCAGAGTCTACATGTTGCCAGACTGTGCTAGACTCTGCAGGTGCAAAAGTCCTCTCATTGTTCCTTGTTCGTGGGTTTCTTGCTCAGTGTTGCACCAAGACGGCAACTTTCAGTTTTCTTTGAATCTTTCACTTCATTGCCAGGGTCAGGTTATAAACGCTCCGTGGGGCTTTGGTGTTTGGCGGGATTTCCGATTTCCTCTCGCTTGCTTTTGTAGTACAATCTTCATTGTCCATGGAAAGTGTGGCTCCAAAGCACTTTGCACAGTATGTGGCGGCAATTCCGTAGTTAAGCATGCCACAAACCATCCTTCATTTGTTCGGTGAGCTATCACAGTTGTGAGTTAGCATTCCCTTAAAGAGGTGGTAGGTAGGTTTTGAGAATGCCCGTGGAAGAGCACCAGGTTGGTAGGAATATCCCACAACCACCAGGTTTTTGGCCTTTGGGGTGCAAGATTTCTTCCATCACAACGAAAGACCCCAACTCTGGGATGTAACTCAGCAATCCTTTCTTGGGTAGGAGAGGAATAGATGGAAAAGGAAGGAAAAGAGAATACCGCCTGTTTTGTTTGTTTTGTTGATAGCTTCATATATATATATATAGCTTCTTATTTGATGTCAATACCCTGGCAGCCTATTTGATTGACATTCGCAGGCCTGGCTCAAGTGCAGACAGGTCAACCTGGCTGTTTGCCGGGTGTGTGACGAAACGTCAATCTTTGGCAGCATAAGTTTGCCACATCACTTACATCACTTCTGCTGTTTCTTTCAGAGGAAGCACTTGACATCAATTGACTCATCACGTGTCGGCACATCTAGATTTCTCGCCTGCATTTCTGTCCCTTTCCAGCCCACTGGACTCTCATAAGAAGCAGGACGGCATTGTTTGTCCTGTGCTGTGATTGTCCAACTGAAAAGGTGAAAAGGAACAATGACACAGTTTGAGGTTGTTGGAGGGCCAGATTGGAAGTGCTGAAAGGAGAGTGCACACTCGTCCCCAGGACTCATGTCAAAGACCATGAGTCTTACAAAGAGTCAGTCCATGCCCGCTCTGAAGCAAGCTCAGCCAGCATCCTAGAGAACCTCGTTCTGGATTTGCTTCCGGTACTCATGGATTTCTTCACGTCTTCCAGTCTTCCGGCGAAGCCAGTCCAGCTTCCAAAAAAGCAGCTGAATTCTCGAGCCCAAATTCAGGGTGTGGAGATTCGGGACTTGAGAACGATGCTTTGCACTTTGCACTAATTGCTGTAAATGGAACTGAACTAAGTGCCTTCCGCCTTCCCAGTCCATCCCAGGTCCGCGGACATCAAGAGACGGATCCTGGCCTCAGTGGATAGGCGAAGAGTGGTTCGAACGGAAGTAACACTGCAAGGTATCTTCTGAAGCGGATTAGTAACAAGAAGCTATACTAGTAGCTCCTGGCATCGCTATCGCTACTGGGAGCAAGGACGCTACTAGGGGCGCTCCTGGCCGTACTAGTAACAAGGACGCTACAAACGTAACAAAGGCCTCTTCTGAAGCGTGTCGAAGTGCCAGGTATCCAGGCCTCAAAGATTCAGGTGCCTATGTCGCTGCAAGGGGCCCCAACGAGGGGGGAGCAACAGCAAAAGCCTCTCGGTGCGAGCGACTGGCAGCCTGTTTTTGGTGCCTGAGGCGCGAGTAGATAAAGCACGGGAAAAAGATCGACTGGCTGAAAAGGAGTGCGGCCATCGAAAGCGACAGTTGTGGCATATTTTGGTGGCTGTCAAATGTCCAGTGACACGGTTCAATTGAAATCTGTCCAAAAGACAGGTATTGGGCACATCTCAAAAAGTTCAAGGAAGACGTACGTGGCTCATACCGACCAACTCGGATTGCGATCATGTCGCAAAAATGACTGACCAGTGCCCAAGCTCCTCACTTTAAGGTCCAGTCCGTTTTCAAGTTGCCCAAAGACAGCTACGCTGGCAAGAGGAGTGTGCAGGAGGCAGGTGAACATGCGGAGATTGAAACAAGAACCGACTTTACCTTTTGCCAGGAGATCAACGAGAAGGCCAAGCTGCCCTTTTGCTACTCTTTCTCTCTCTAGCGACCGCCCCCTTCTGTGTAACGGCTTAGAGGGTTGTATGCTGCAGAAGTAGTCCAAAAATCCAAGAAGGCTGTTTAGAGTAAAGTTTAGAGGCAGGAGCCAACATGGCCAAAGTTCACGCAAGCAGTTTTCATTAGCAAAGGCCTGAAAGCAAAAATTCAAGCCCCAACAGTGTGGCAAAAGGAGATGGCAAAGTCATCCAGCTGGAAGACATGGAAGACATTTCAAACATGGTAAACATATATAGACTGTATATGAGAGTTTGCAATCTGTTCATGCCTGACAGGTTCATGACTCATCATGACTCAGGTGGTTCTCCGATCGCAGGTGCACCTTGATCCGCTCAAGCTTTCTGAAAAGGAGCGAGTGCAGCCCCGCACGCACTTCGCTGTGTTGGCAGCGGAGCTCTTTAGCTCGCTGTCGTCGCCCCCGCATGCCATGCCCCTTTGAGGTCGACCAGCCTTTGTTGGACCCTCGACGAGTGGCGGCATCCACCTGGCGGCCGACCCTGTCCTCGACCCCTCCAAGGTCAGTGGCTTCCTGCCGTACGCCCGTGCCCATGGATGATGACGACCAATGGCGATGTCTCCAATGTGGCGCTGACACCTACTTCTGGAGTGAGGAAAGGACTGCATGGCGCTGCTATGAGTGTGGTTCGAGCTCACTCTCACCGCGCCCCCCCGACGGCTGTTCGAGCAGACCGCATGAACCTGGGCGACGATCGAGCCTACGGTCCAAGCAGGCCTTTCACAGCCGAGCCCAATGCAGTACCAGGTCTTCCAACGACTCAGTTCTCATGGCCATACCCCTTGACCTCGTTGTTCCCTGGTCAACTTTACCAAGGTCATTCGGGATATTGCCATGACGCCGGACCAGGATATCCTCGCGACGCCGGACCGGGATATCCTCATGTACCCTTTGCAGCTGGGCCACCGCTATTTGCTTGTGGTCACGCTGGGTGCCCTCCACCTCACCAACTAAGGACCAGCTCTTCTACGCCGACGAGGCAATGACCCAGACAGAGGGTCAGACCCATACGCAGGGTCAGAAGGATCTGAATGGGCTGAGACAGAGGCCCCAACATATGATCCAACGGTCACGCCAAGTGTGAGGCCAAGCCCAAGACGACCTGATGAGCCGACATCAGGCAATCCACAAGATGTCACCCCTGAGGCCAAGAGGAAAAGGCGAAGACGCCGCACTTCTGGACAGCCATCGACCTCTCCTCATCGTTCACCGCATGATTCATCTCCACATGGACCACCCCGAGGCCCTCCACAAGATGAACCACGATTGAGCCCTGTTGCAAGGATTCCAGCAAGTTCACCCAAGAAGGGCGGACCACCATCCAATGGCGGTTCGAATCCATCGGATCCCGATCATGGCACACCAGGCGGCACAAGCTCTTCAAGCGCCTGGAACACCCTGAAGGGGCCAGTGCAAGGTGTTCGATTCTGTGGCGGTCAACCGCCCCAACCTCCTGGATGGCACTATGACCGCAGTGACTTGGCAGCCTTCCGAAAATGGAAGAAACGTGTTGACATGTGGGCCTTGCAGGTCACCAACTACGTGCCCAAGCGAGAAGCAGGGATCCTCCTGTTCAACAGCCTGAAAGGAGAGCTTGAGGAGGAGCTAGAAGACGCCCAGTGGAGAAGATCTATGACATCGACGGTGTCACCTTCATCATGGACACCATCCAGAAGGCAGTTGAAACGAGATCAGTGCATCTCAAACGGCAGCTGCTCAACACCTACGAGCACATCTACCGCTCTCCTCAGGAGAGCACGAGGAGCTTTGTGAATCGGTATGCCAGAACAGAACGAGCGCTTGACACCATCGGCATCCGGGTCTATGACATGTACGATGCTGAGGCTCGCGGCGCTCGCATGTTGGAGCGTGCCAAGCTGTCCAATGAACACCAGCGCCAAATCCTCGTCGGCGCTGGTCAAAGCCTTGAATTTGACATCATCAAGGACGTGCTACTTTTTCAGTGGCCAGAGCATAAGGCACTACCTCCTCCACTTCACCAACCTGGTGGCAACAAGGGTTTTCGACCTCAGCACCCAGGTGGAAAGGGCAAAGGCAAGGGAAAGACATCACCACCGGTGAAGCAGACCTTCATCACCGAGGCCAATGAGGCTGACGAGATTGACATCGGCCAGGACCCTCAGCAGGCGGAACCGCCTGAAGAAGATGAAGGGCCCTCGAGGGCGACGCGCCTCCAGAGCAAGAAGAAGATGAGTTCGAGTGGGACGAAGATGACCCACAGGTGGCGGAGATCCTCACAGTGACGGCCAGGAAGTTGGCCAACGTCCTTCAAGGAAGAAAGTATGGCGACACGGCATCCTCCTCTTCTACGGCGCCCAAGCGGTCCATAGCTCACCGCAAAAGAACAACACACTGCTCTGCCTGTGGCCTGTGGCCAGCAGGGTCACTGGGCAGGAGATGCCGAATGCTCAGCGAGCTCCAAGGGCGGCAAGTCTTTGAACAAAGGTGCAACCAAAGATGGCAAAGGCGCCGGCAAGTCAGACAAGGGCGGCAAAACCCGCTCTGTGCACTTTCTCAACCACTACGGTGGCCATGACGACGAGGATGCGCCCGAACATGTGGCCCATTCCGCTTTTGTGTCACAGTGCCCAAACAACCAGATTTGCCTCACCGATGCCACAAAAGCTGCGGGCCACATCATACTCGACACCGCGTGCCAAAGGTTATGCGCAGGCCGCAGTTGGTCGGAAGCCCAAAAGCACAAGATGCAACTATGGGACATCACCCCCCTCGAGATGGAGACCTCTGAGTATTTCGAGTTTGGGAAGGGCGCTCCGATCCACTCGACCTACACCATGTTCTTCCCGGTCTGTTTTGGGAACCACATGTGTTTGATGGCACCCTGCATCCTCGAAGCACAAATTCCTTGTTTGGCAAGCCGCACTTGGTTACAAGATGTTGAGGCAGTGATTGACATGAACCATGAAGTCTACATGGGTTTGTTTCAAGTCACCCTGCCCCTCGTTTTGATCAACGGCCACCTCGGACTGGACGTCTCGAATCGCAGTCTTCAAGAACCATGTTTTGAGTTTTGGCACAGTCAACAACCAGAGCTTTTTCGTCAATGCAGAGAAGGGCAGCGCATGTTCGTGAGTTAGGCGAATCCAAGACCCTACAAACCCTAGATCTCTGTAGACCCCAACAATCACACGTCAGAAATCCCGGCCGTCAGAAATCCCAAGTTTAAGAGACACCAAGCCGAGTTAAGAGACACCAAGTTGAAGAATTTCAGAAATTCAGAAATTGTTAATTTCCGAATTTACGTAAAGAAGTAACGTTTTTCAGTAATGCAGAAATTGTTAATTTCCGAATTTCCGCCAAACTATGTAAAAAAGTGAAGTTTTTCAGAAATTCGGAAATTGTTAATTTCCGAATTTCCGCCAAACTATACATAAAAGTAAAGTTTTTCAGAAATTCGGAAATTGTTAATTTCCGAATTTCCGCCAAACGATGTGAAAAAGTAAAGTTTTTCAGAAATTCGGAAACTGTTAATTTCCGAATTTCCGCCAAACTATACAGAAATTCGGAAATTGTTAATTTCCGATTTTCCGCCAATCGATGTAAAAAAGTAAAGTTTTTCAGAAATTCGGAAATTGTAAATTTCCGAATTTCCACCAAACTATGTAAAGAAGTAAAGTTTTTCAGAAATTCGGAAATTAACACGATATAGCAATTCAGAAATAGTTCATTTCGGAGTTTCCGATAAACGATGTAAGAAGTACAGGTTTTCATACCTTCCGAAATTGCTCATTTCCAATTTTTCGCCAAACCAGACATTGCGCAGGCAGCGTCCGGTTGCCAGCCAGAAGTGGAACGTTTGTACTTGCATTGAAAAAATCGCCATCTAGCCTCTTTTTCTCTCATCTCGGCGCACCCACTGAACGCATGGCACGCCCGCCGAACACATGGCTCTTCAAGTGGAACACCATCAGACCAGCAGATTTGGGGAGTGGCTGGTCGTGCTGGATGATGGGCAGCTTCTCTTTCGCCAGGGCAAGATGCGTTTGTTGGCTCCACCTCCGGCAGCGCCCCCAACAGCGCCAGGACAAGATGACCAGTCGGGTGACCGCGATGGGTGTGTTTATTGGGTCCTTTCGAAGCATTGTTCGAATCAGGGTGCTTTAGGCAAAAGTGGCCTGACTAGCAAGAGCCTTACAGGCACTCCGGCTGTCAGGCAGAATCCAGCTCTTTGCCAGACTCCGTCACGGCAAAGACCCGCGTGCTCTGTGCGGCTGACAGCCAGCCACCTCGAAGAGCATTGCAACCCGAAGCCAAAAGGTATCCTGCATGGGCACGCGCTCCGGTTTTCACTTTCGAGGCCAAGCAACCAAACAGATCTTGAGCCGCTTGAATCTGTAAGATGTAAGGCTTCTGACTGAGTGTTGAACTTGTTGAGCGCGCTCAGGGCATGGAGCGCGCGCAGGGCAAGTCGATCTTCAGCAGCCCCAGCCTCAAGCGTAGTATCGTCTAGTTTTGTATGGCTGCTGAATCCGGCTGACAGCCAGCTCATGCCGCCCAAATACCAAAAGAAAAGACCTTCGGGCAAAAGCGGCTGGGCAGCGCACAACCAAAAAAGGTCACAACGTAGAAAAACATTGCGCGACGTTGCCCTGCGCCATCATCGCTTTGTGGTTGGGTGCCTGCCGCCGATCAAGCCACTCCTGCGCATCAATGGCAAGCAGTCCGCGCTCATGGCCTGTAGGAAACTGTCCAAGGTGATGGTAGACAGTGAAGCGCAGACCGACGCCAATGGCACTGAGAGTCAGCTGAGCGAGCTGGCCAGTCAGCTGCAGCGCGAGAAGGCAGCCAACGTGGAGCTCTTGCAGCTGCTGCTGAAGGATGAGCCGAGCCATATGTGGTCTGTGTGCTCTCCCGCTGCCAGCGAGATGAGGATGCCACCAGAGCACCAGCAAAGA